GGAGGGCCCGACCCAGAGTCCCCAGGCTCCGCTTCCTCAGTGGAAGACGTGCCGGTGGGATTGAGGAGGTCTTCAAAGTATTCTGCCCACCGACCCACAACATCCCGAGTTGAGGTCAGCAGCACACCACTCCCACTATAAACAGTGTTGGTGGCGTACCGCTTTCCCCCCCGAGACGCAGGATGGTGGACTAGAATCGCCTTGAAGCCGTGCGAAAGTCATTCTCCATGGCCTCTCCAAACTCCTCCCATGCCCGAGTTTTTGCCTCAGCGACCACCCGAGCCACATGTCGCTTGGACTGCCGGTACCCATCATCTGCTTCCGGGCTCCCACAGGCCAAAGAGGCCCGATAGGACTCCTTCTTCAGCCTGACAGCATCCCTCACCGATGGTGTCCACCATCGGGTTCGAGGGTTGCCGCCACGACAGGCACCGACAACCTTGTGGCCGCAGCTCTGGTAAGCCGCCTCGACAATAGAGGCACGAAACATCTCGCCTCTCCTTAAAGACAGAAAACAACGTGTCTCTTATTAAAAACAGAAAACTTCTCGTCTCATCTTAAAGACATAAAACAACTCGTCTCTTCTGCTTAAAGACAGAAAATATCTCATCTCCTCTTAAAAACAGAAAACATCTCATCTCTTCTTAAAGACAGAAAACATCTCGTCTCGTCTTTCTCCTCTCTTCTTCTTAAAGACAGAAAACATCTCGTCTCTTCTTCTTAAAAACAGAAAATATCTCGTCTCTTCTTAAAGACAGAAAACATCTCATCTCTTCTTCTTAAAAACAGAAAACATCTCGTCTCTTCTTAAAGACAGGGCCGGTACCTGAGGACGGGGTTACTTGAGGATGTTGGGGGGGGGGGAGGCTTTCTTTTTTTTTTTCGTGAGCTCAGTTTAAGTGTAGAAACATTGTGACGTGTTTCAATGAACTTATCATCATCGCTCAATTTTTTTTTATTTAAAGAAAGAGAAGAAAGAAGAAAAAAAAAAAGAAGAGAAATAGATAAAACGAGAGACCACCACGACAAAACAACATGCACAGCACAATGCGACCCACAATATCACCATGAAACATTTGACATGGCACAAGGAATCATCTAGCTTCCACTACTACCCAACCTAGCGTGCATCTGTCAAAGCACCTGAATACAAACACCCGCGCAAGCACGCCCGCCACCACCAGATTTCTCCAAAAGAATGCCCAATAGTGGATGCGGGGGCCCACAGACCCGCCCCCCCAGGACACAATGGCAACACAGGGAGGACCGGAGCCACAGACACACAGCGGCCCCCAGGCCCGGAGCCCCAGGAGTCTCCCAACAGGGAGAACCACACCCCCCCAGAGAGGAGCAGACGTAAGAACCGGGTGACCCCAGCAACCACAATGCAGAGCCTCCAGGAAGCTGCAGCGACAAGCCCACAGGTCCGGCCGGCAACCCATGCCCCCCCAAGTAGATCCAGCCATGGACACCGAGCCCCAAGCCCTGAGGCCATACCACCCACCAGCAGAGCCCCGACAGAGCCAGGGCACCCAGGCCTCGCCAGGCAGCAACCAGGGCGCACCGACATACACCCCACCACCCAGCCCAGACGCCGAGAGCCACCAATGCACCGGCGGCAAGGGGGCCCCCCGCCAAAGGGGGGCACGACCGGGGGGAGTGGAGCCCACACCAAACGTGGGGCCCAAATTGATCCAAGAGAGGGGGGACCACCAAAAAGCCAACCCGAGCCACAAACAGGCACACACAGATAGCCCGACAGAATCACTGTCGGGCCGACCGCATGTACCATCTACCTGGCAGCGACCACAGGCCGGCCCCAGCCCAAGGGGCAGAGCAGCAGGGAGCTGCAGCCGAGGAGGGCCAGCTTTTCACATCAAGAGCTCCGCACCACAGGCCCGGAGACGCCCCAGCACGCCACCTACACCCCCCCCATACACACAGCACCCCCACTGCAAATGCCACACAGGAAGACCAGCCAGTGCCCCGATGAGGTGAAGCCATGCCCCCAACCACCGCCCTACACCACCAATGACCACACGTACACTACCATAGCCGACCCCCCATCGAAAGCCGGCAGCCACCCCGGTCAAAGTGCCGGCCATCGCAACCAGGAACCTAGATTAAAAGAATCGGAACAGCCCAGGGGGAACCGGAGCACCGGCCCCATCACCAACCGCCCCCAAGGCCCAAAGCCCACCCACAGCCCAGACCCCAACAATGAACCTGAGGATGTTGGGGGGGAGGCTTTCTGAGGACAGGGATTTTCTGGGGATCGGGGGTATCTGGTGATGTGGGGGTACCTGATGACAGGGTGGGGTACCTGAGGAAGGGGGGTACCTGAGGATGGGGGGTACCTGAGGAAGGGGGGTACCTGATGATGGAGGGGTTCCTGATGAAGAGGGGTGGGTACCTGAGGAAGTGGGGTACCTGAGGACGGGGGGTACCTGAGGACGGGGGGTACCTGAGGAAGGGGACTACCTGAGGAAGGGGGTACCTGATGATGATGGGGTTCCTGATGAAGAGGGGCGGGTACCTGAGGAAGGGGGGTACCTGATGACAGGGTGGGGTACCTGAGGAAGGGGGGTACCTGATGATGGAGGGGTTCCTGATGAAGAGGGGTGGGTACCTGAGGAAGGGGGTACCTGAGGACGGGGGGTACCTGAGAATGTTTGGGGTTATCTGATGATGCGGGTGTACCTGATGATGAAGGGGTACCTGATGATGGAGGGGTACCTGATGAAGAGAGGTACCTGATGATTGATGTGTACCTGAGGACGCGGTCGGAGGCTTGGTTGGCCTTGCTGCTGCTGTCTGATGAGTGAGTCTTTTCATGGACCTTTGCCATCTTTTCTGCTGCAGCGATTGGACAGCCAGAGAGACTGATGGACACAGAGACACAACAGGTACATTCTAAGTCTGCACCACAAAACACATATCCAAACTTCTTCAGTAAAGCTGAAGACTATCTGGGGTCTTCATTTTGTAACAAATTAGGCTTTTGTTCGACAGAAACAGACTTTTATTCTGCAGATTATTTGTGACCTCTTCCTGTTTCTTGTCTCTGACTGAGTCCTCCTGAATATCAGAGGTCTGTGTCACTGCCCGATCTGTTCCGGATGCCCGATCCGTACCGTCAGCTCATTTGCGCATGCACTAAAATAAAAACTTCCGGGTCACACGGATCGCCGTTGAATATGCTAGATTTAGGAAAATGTACTTGAAATAATTATTCCAGCCTTAATTATAAAGGTGTGCTACATTATATCCTATAAGCTGATTTAACACGACACATATTTGGTATTAATATATTTATGAATATTAATTAAAACATCTCTTTTTATAAATTGATTAATTTTCCTAGATAATGTTATAAATGAAACAAATTATTCTCCCAAATCATCGCCTCAAACAGCCACAATCCCCACGTTCTTTTCAACACCATTAACTCCATTTTAACCGTGCCTCACTCTGCTAACTGGGAGGTCTCTGCAGTTACGTGTGACGACTTTGCCAGTTCCTTTGTTAAAAAGGTTGAGTCGATCAGGTCACTGATTCCTCACGCCACAGCTGACCCCTCTGTCTTTGTCCCCTCCACATCAGTCTTTAACCAGTTTGAACCCATTTCCCTCTCATTTCTAAATGACGTCATTGGTCATACGAAACCCTCAGGTTCCCCTGCTGACCCCATCCCTGCATCATTTTTTAAACAAGTCCTACCCTCGATTAGACCCTCTGTTCTTGACATTATAAACAGCAGTATGGCTACAGGTGTAGTTCAGAGAATCAGAATCAGAATAAACTTTATTGGCATTGTACCGAGATACAACGCGAACATGTACGTACAGTCGTCCGAAGATGGGCAGAGTGCACGAAGCTGCAGCTAAAATAATTAGCGCGGCCTTCTTATTCTTATTCAGAATAATATTTTGCTTAGATGAGAAAAGGAAAGAAAACATGAGGAGAGACGGTATAAAAAGAAAAGATCTCTCACACCATGTCCTAGACAGGGCATGATTTGAGGCATCAAAAAACCTACCACAGCAAAGCAACATAAACAGACGTTATACATCAATCAACCTTTATTTCTACAGGTAAATCCCATTGAGCCTCGAGGACTCATTTACAAGAGAGACCTGATTTCAACAAAGAAAGATGACAACAATGGACAACAGCAACAACAATAAACAGTTATAAAAACTCATACTACAGGTTTTTTTTTTTTTTTTTTTTAACAAATAGGATGGCTAAAAGGAAAAAGGTAACAAAACAAAAAAAAACAGCTAGATTCCAAGACAAATGTATAAAACTAAAAACAGGAACATGTCTGTTCTATACATGAACATATAGGCGGTGAAAACATTGAATTTTTAAGGGAAAGTCGTAGCATAGTCCAGAGGCCCCCCCCCCCAGCCATTGTCCAGATAAGAGGTGACGTTCATCTTCAGCTCAGTTGAGGTTCTGTCACATGTCCACGGCCTTGGGGGAGGGAGGGGTGAGGAAACAGTCAAAGCATCTTTGTTGTTTTCTGAACATTCCAGGAGGAGCTGAGATAAGTCCGGCATCAAGGCCACAGTTTGGGTCAGGCAGAACTCGTAATTGTTGTTTCTGCCTTTAAAGTCTCGCTGGTACATATTCTCTGATGGAAACTCCAAAACAGCCGAATTGATCCTTTACTCCAAAAGTCGAGCTCACAGCTTCTCCAGATTATTACACCGTTCATAAGTGCTGCCAGGAAGAACACAGTCCTGATAACAGCTGCTCCAACTCCCTGTCACAGCTCCACATTCAGTCCGAGCACTGTCAAGCTTCAACACCTCCACACGAATTTGTAGACAACCAGATTCCACCAACCCAAACAGTAGATTCCAGTTGTCATCATGAATCCAATTTGTTCCTTAAAGAGGTCAGAGGGTCCTCCTTACCCTGACTCCTGTCGGGAGAAGTTGATCAATTTTGTTGAGAGACCAGCTGATCCTTCCAATTAAGAGGTATGCAGGAAAAAAAAGAGGCTTTTTAAGGGTTCACAGGACAAAAGAGCGCAGCAGGAAACGGGTGGGGGGGGGAGGGAAAACACATCTGGTTTCACCGTAGAGTAGGTAGGACAAAAAAAAAGTTCCTGATGCTTTTAAACATGCAGTGGTAACTCCTTTAATAAAAAAACCCGGACTTGACCCTTCAACCTGCTCAAACTTCAGACCCATCTTCAAACTTCCCTTTCTTTCTAAGATCCTGGAGAAACTAGTTTTCACTCAATTAAATGAGTTCTTGAGAAGAAATTCTATTCTTGAGATCTTTCAGTCTGGTTTTAAGAAACTATACAGCAGTGAAACAGCCTTAGTTAGGGTCTGCAACGACATTCTTCTGGCGAGTGACTCTGGTCAGTCTGTAGTACTGGTACTGCTTGACCTTACTGCTGCATTTGATACTGTGGACCACAGTATCCTTTTATCCCGGCTAGAACACTGGGTTGGGATTACTGGTGCAGCGTTAGAATGGTTTCATTCATACCTGAGCGACAGGAGTTTCTGTGTTAATTTTGCTAACACTCTATCTACTTCAGTGCCTCTTTCCTGCGAGGTCCCGCAAGGCTCCATTCTTGGACCCCTTCTGTTTTCTTTGTATCTCCTCCCCTTAGGGTCTATCCTGAGTAGGGCAGTAACAGAGTACTAGAGTAATCTACACATCGATTGCCAGGACATCTATCGAGGTTAAAAATGTAACGTCGAGTATCCGTAGTGACGTCATATTATGTGACCACCGTATGACCGTAGGGGGTGGTGTTGCACCGTTGCAGGTCACAGAATATGGTGTAACACCGGGTCCAATCCACCGAACCAGAACCAGCTTCCTCTGACCTTGTTTCACAAACAAAAATCAAAAAATATTAATCTCTAAACCTATAAAAAAAATCTATAGACATATTAATCTCTAAAACTAAACTTAATGCCGACCCCCCCCCCACTGTTTTAAGTTTCGTTTTTGACGTGCTGCATGTTTCTTCACGTTTGCAGTTTAATAATAAAAACTAATAGTTTGGTTTTTCCAGTGACTTATTTGCAGTTTGATAAATCGTAGGAGCATAATATACGCTCCCAATGTTTTGTTGGTCTTTTTTTTGTTGTAAATAATTACCTTTTTTGCGGTTTTATATATATATATATTTTTTGTATCTTGAGATCTATGATGTCATCAAATACTCGAGTTCTACTTGGGTTTTATTATGTTAATGTCGAGTTTAAAAATTATATACTTGTTCAACCCCTAATCCTGAGGAAACATGGTCTTTCCTTTCATCGTTACGCTGATGACTCTCAGATTTATCTACCTTTAAAACCAAACAGTTCTTGCTCCATCCACCCTTTGCTAAAATGTCTTGATGACATCAAGACTTGGATGGCTGCAAACTTCTTGAGCTTTAATGATCAGAAGACTGAGGTCATTGTGTTTAACCCAAGCTCTACCACTGTCACTGATCCTGTAAACCTGGACTCCCTTCAGCCTCATCTAAAGCAGTCAGTTACCAATCTCGGGATAGTTTTAGACTTTGACTTTAAGTTTAATAAACAGATCAACTCTGTTCTACAAAAAAGCTTCTTTCAGCTAAGGCAGATAGCTAAGCTCAAGTCTGTCCTGTCCAGATCCGACCTTGAAAAATTAGTCCATGCATTTATTACAACCCGGCTGGACTACTGTAACTCGCTTTATGCTGGGGTCAGTCAGGTCTCTCTCTCACGTCTCCAGCTCGTCCAAAATGCTGCAGCTCGGCTACTAACAGGAACTCACAGGTTTGAGCACATTACTCCGGTTCTGTCCTCTCTTCACTGGCTTCCTGTGTGTGTCAGAGTTGATTTTAAGATTCTTCTGCTGACATTTAAGTGTGTTAACGGCCTTGCACCCTCATACCTCTCCGACCTCCTTCATCCTTATGCTCCTTCTCGGGCCTTGAGATCATCAGACCAGCTGCTTTTGGCCGTACCAAAAACCAGCTGAAGCTCAGAGGAGATCGGGTGTTTTCAGTCGTGGGCCCTAAACTCTGGAACAATCTGCCCATCAACATTCGACAGGCCACCTCAGTCTCTGCTTTTAAATCTCTCCTAAAAACACATCTGTACTCACTGACACATCTGTACTCACTGACACATCTGTACTCATTGACACACCTGTACTCACTGACACATCTGTACTCACTGACACACCTGTACTCACTGACACATCTGTACTCACTGACACATCTGTACTCATTGACATTTAACAGTGTGATCTCATTTGGTATTTCGTTGTTGATGATTGTGTTCATCCATTTTGCTTTTACTCCCTGACATTTAATGCAGGGTGATTTGATTTAGTATTTCATTGTTTCTCATTATATATAATGTTTTTATGCTTTTATTCATGTTGCTGTAATATGTTGTTATTAATATTTGATGCTGTGATCTTTTTTGGTAAGCACTTTGAGAAAAGTATGTGCTCTATCTCCACCGATCTTCATGTTGCTAATTTACGTCACTCGTATTTTTGTTAAAATCATTGACATATTTACATCATTGATTAAAATGATCTGCAACTTCACCACTGAGCGGCGCTGTTTCACCATGGAAATTATTCATACTGTATCTCACAGGGTTTTCCTCCTTCAGTCCAGGCTGGGGATCAGCTCTAAAGCAGCCTGTCCAGTTGAAGTGAACCTTCTCGATCATTTGGTGCTGACGGTGACGGTCAGGTTAACAAAAATGTGGGTGGGGTAGGTGAAGCACCCACACTTGCCCCCACCCTCATTCGCCCCACCCTGGGCCCCTGAGCAAGGCCCTTAACCCCCATCTGCTCCCTAAACACGTCTCTCTTGAAAATGAGTTCTCGTGGCTCAATGAGACTACCTGGATAAAAAAAAGGGTAAATGAAAAAAAAAAACTTCCATCCATCCATTAACTTCCGCTTATTCCGAAGTCAGGTCGCGGGGGCAGCATCTTGACCAGGGAGGCCCAGACATCTCTCTCCACAGCCTTTTCCAGTTCTTCTGCGAGGACTCCAAGGTGTCCTGGGTCTTCCCCAGAGTCTCCTCCCAGTTGGACATGCCCAATTAAATCAATTTACAGGATATAATGTAGCACACCTTTATAATTAAGGCTGGAATAATTATTTCCAGGACATTTTCCTAAATCTAGCATATTCAACGACGATCCGTGTGACCCAGAAGTTTTTCTTTTAGCGCATGTGCAAATGAGCTGACGGTACGGATCGGGCAGTGATGGTCTGATTAGTGACATGAAGGGTCTGTGGGGGTGGCCATGATGGAAACAGAGAATGCTGGGTAAAATAGAAGACCTAGAAGCTGCTGAGTCACTGGTTGTCTTGGTGATTCCTGGAGCAGACGGGGAGGGGCAGCACCCAGCAGGCAGAAGCAGAGTAAAAAGTAAGCCTCAGATAGACGGTCTGGTCCTCGGAAACCTTCGTCTTTTTTCAAAATTTATTTTGATAAATCAGAGTCAAAAACGTTGTTTACATAAATACAGCAGTTTTATTGCCAGATGTAAAACAAAAGTATCATACAGTCATTTTAAAACGGTCGTTTTTGACCCAAACTGTCACATGTGCTGAGCGAGGTGCACTTTCTCCGAGGGGGGAGGTTGTAAAATGAGCTGTGCCTTAAATTAATTGATCTGTGATTAATTCTAATCAAGTCAAAGTAATCACTCAACTTCGTATTCAAACTATTTTATCCCAATTAATATTCTTTGTTATTTGTGTTTAATATTTTAATATTGTTATATATATCTTATTTTTATTATTTATTTTTGTAATAAAACTTCAAAGACAAATTCATTCATTACAAAATTCCCTGTAATGAACGTTTTATTTCAGTGACTGAGTTATGATTCTTAAAGGGTGCATAAATAAATGAAGCTGTTGTTGGTCAGGAAACTGACCTGCTGCCTCCTTTTAGCAGAGAAGTGAATTCAATTCAGTTTATTCATAAAGCACCAAATCACAACAAAGTTGTCTCAGGGACTTTACAGGAACATTCACATACAGACATGAGTGAGGCGAAAGTATCACCCTTCTTCCCCCTCACTCACATTTTTATAGAAGCATGCCTCAAACATTTGATCGGATACAGTGAAACTGTTGAATCAGAGGCATGGAGAGAGTTGGTCTGGAGACATTAACCTGAGTTTGTCTCTTAAAACTTTTGAAAGAAATGTTTCTTGTTGAATTTTATGTTCAGGACCAGACAAGTTGTGGATTTTTATAAAAATGTACGACTTTATCCCATTTGAAAATTGGAGTGTTGAACATCCATCAGTGATGCTGGTGAAGGTCCTGAGACTGGAGGAGCAGCCAGTATCAGCTACCTCTGGTTAAGGGGTGTGATCTAATGGGAAGGGAAGGGGCTTGTCGATGGTTACCCTAACCTGACTCACAGGCCCCACGTGTCGGAGGAGTGGCTGGGAGAAGTCCGTCCACTCACCTGCGGTGCGAGTTCCTGTTGCTGTTGACGTGACCTCGCCCAGAGCAGCCAGGAGTTGGACACTTCAACACATTTTCATACATCGCAAGAACTTTGAAAGACAAGAGAAGGGGAGAAGGATAGAAAGGGTAAGGAGCAGACAGACATATGTTGGGCGTACTCAGATCACTGCACCAGAGCCAAACAGAACAGATCAAGGGTCAGTTCTTCATGTTTGAGCTCTTTAAGGTCCTTTGTTACTTTTATTCTAACCAGAAGCGTTTCAGTAGGTTTTTAAAACCCAGAGGTGGTTTATATCTCGTGACCTAAGTGGTTCACAGAAACTGTAAAAGGAAAAGAACCAACAGGATCTCCATGGACAGCTAATGGAAGCTCCTAAAGGTTCTGGGAACTCTCAGTCAAAAGAATGAAAACTGGACCTATGAGTGGAGCAATGTCATTTTATTTGGCTTTAGTTTAAATGACCCCTCCCCTTTTTGGACCCCCCCCCCCACCCCCCCCCCCACCCCCACCAAAAAAAAAAAAAACTGTGTAAAGCTACTGGTATCAGAATATTATACCTAAAAATGTTTGTGGTGAAGTATTTATCACAGTATTTATTTATTTCTAAGGGATTTTAAACATCTGCTAAGTTCATGTCAAAAACCATTGCAGACATGTTCCTGTTCTTAGTTTTCTACATTGCTTTATAATGTAGCTGTTTTTGTTTCATTTTTATATAATTTATTTTATTTACTTTTCATTTTATATGCTCTTTATATGATTGTCTCTTGTTGTCTGTAGCTCCTCTGTGCTCTTTGTTTGAAACAGCTCTCTGTTGTAAATGAGTCCTCGAGGCTCAATGAGAAGAACGTGGATAAATAAAGGTTGAATTAATAATATTTCTAAAGAAAAAAAAATATTTTTTTCAATATTTTAAATTTCTTCTCAGAACAGAGAGGAACAATCAAATGAGAGAGTTGTGGCTTTATTTCAGTTGCAGAGAGGAAATGAATAAATCTGCTATTTCCCTCTAGTTTGAAGTCACCGTTTCATAAACAAGCAGTTATGTAGAAGTCGTGACTGACATACTTTTACTAATGTTAATTTTTAATTGTTTTTGACAAATTTTAAATTGCATTCTCTGTGATTTTTGGCAAAGAAACTGGCCACTAGGGAGCCTCTGGTTCAGGGTCCAAGCCCGGGTAAATGGTGAGGGTTGTGTGTAGAATGACTGTTGTTGTGAAGAAGAGCAAAAGAGTCAAATCAGAGAAGAAGACCAAATGGTGGAAGATGAAGAAGGAAGAATGTTGTGAGAAATTCAGAGAGGAGCTGTTAAAGGCTCTGGGTGGTAAGAAAGAGCTTCCAGATGACTGGACTACTACAGCAACAGTAATTAGAGAGACAGGTAGGAAGGTACTTGGTGTGTCATCTGGACAGAGAATGGATGATGAGGAAACCTGGTGGTGGAATAGAGAAGTGCAGGAAGATGTTCAAAGAAAGAGGTTAGACAAGAAGAAATATGACAGAGAGAGGACTGAAGAGAGGAGACAGGAATATAAGGAGATGGGACTTAGTGCAAAGAGGGAGGTAGCTAAGACAAAGCAGAAGGTGTATGATGAGTTGTATGGGAGACTGGACACTAAAGAGGGTGAGAAGGACTTGTACCAACTGGCAAGATGGAGGGATCAGACTGGAAAGGATGTGCAGCAGGTTAAACTTACTAAAGATAGGAATGATAATGTTGTAACAAGTGAGGAGAGTGTGACGGGAAGATGGAAGGAGTACTTTGAGGAGCTAATGAATGAAGAGAATGAAAGAGAAAGAAGAGTAGAGGTCATAGAAACTGTGGACCAGGAAGTGGGAAAGATTAGTGAGGGTGAAGTCCAGAAAGCTCTGAAAAGAATGAAGAAGGGGAAGAGGGTGAGAAAATGCCAGAGGAATGGAGAAGAAGTGTGCTGGTGGCCATTTTTAAGAACAAGGTGATGTACAGAGTTGTAGCAACTACAGGGGAATTAAGTTGATGAGTCACACGATGAAGATCTGGGAGAGAGTTGTGGAAGCAAGACTTAGACGAGAGGTGACTATCTGTGAGCAGCAGTATGGTTCATGCTGAGAAAGAGCACCACAGATCCATCTTTGATTTGAGGATGATGATGGAGAAGTCAAGAGAGGGTCAGAAAGAACTCCATTGTGTCTGTGGATTTAGAAAAAGTATCAGACAGCAGGACTTGTATCTGTGACTTTCCTTCCCTCCATTGATCACGGTGACATGATCTACATGAACGCTCCTACAAGAACCCTGCAGATGTTGGATGCTGCAGATGTTGGATGCTGCAGATGTTGGATGCTGCAGATGTTGGATGCTGTCTATCATGGTGCACTAAGATTCAGAACTGGCTGTAACTACCGTACCCACCACTGCACCCAGTATTCACTGGTTAACTGGTCACCATTAACTTCACACAGACTCTCACTGGTACATTTTCATCTCACCTCTTTGAGTAGCTTCAAACATCTGTTAAGTTCATGCAACAACCAACGCAGACATATTTTAGTATTTTACATCGCTTTATAATGTAGCTTGTTTTTATTTTGTTTTATTTCACTACTTTTATTTACTTTTCATTTTATATTATTTTGTTGCTGTTTACTGTTGTGTGTACCTTACAGGTATCTGTGGTTTTGCCTAAAACAGGGTTAGGGTTAGCTAATTAACATCTAACTATCTAACAGCTATTTTTCAGCCTTTTTTTTAATTATTAATTTCAGCTACTTTTAGGTAATTTCCAAATGTTGTGCTCATTTCTGTTTATCTAAACCTACTTCAGCAAAAAAATAGTACTGTTTTCTTCTGGTAATTTATGCTTTTCTTCCATTTCGGCTGTTTTCAGCAAGTTCTTCTGCAATAAGCATTCACACTGCATTTTTGCTGGAAGTGCAACTTCTCTAGTTACTTCAGTAACATGATTTCTGACTCTAATGATAATAATAATAATGACTTTAATTTGTAACACACTTTTCATTAACAAAAATCTCAAAGTGCTACATGATTTCTGACTCTGAGGGAACCATCTCACTGAAGCGGCTCAGCAGACAGCTGAAAAGCTGCTGAGCAGCAGAACTTACTCTCAGGAGGGACCCGGTCTTTATGGGGACACCCGGACAGGCTTCGATGATGTGGGTACAGACCCGTCACATGACCGGTACCATCACAGTCTGGGGTTGGACATTTGCTCTCCTTCTTCTCCCCCCTTGAAGAATCTGGAAACAAACAGGAAAATGAAAATGATGACAAAATAACTAAAAACAAAGCTGAAAGTCAGTTCTCTGATCTTAGCTGACTTTGACTGGTGGATTTTAGCACTGACCAGTGTACAGCTACACAAACCCAAACATAGCAAACTGGGCTGCAATGATGGTTAGACAAGGTGTTTCTACCTTTTTGGAAGTATGCTCTCTTCAATCCATCCTGATGTATACTTGATCTGCGCTCTTCGGCAGTGCCATTTAGTCGGTGATGATGATGGTCTTGATGGGGCATTGTATGCTCCAAGGCCATCCTGTCCCTCATGACCTTTGCCCTCTCAGACTCCAAGGCAATGGCCTTCTCTAACAGTGACAGGTTTCCCTTGGCCATGTCGAAGGTGTCATCAGAGTGGTCAGAGGCCACAGACGTAGTATCCTCGTCGTCGTCCTGGCTGCAGCTGTAGTCTCTGGAGGTTGGGCTCAGCTGCTCGTCCAGCTTCACCAGGTTCATAATGTCGGAGTAGCAGCGCTCTTCCTGAGCTCTTGGCAGACAGGTGTTGTATCTGAGAAACAAAATCAGGGTGAGGGATCTGAATATGTTCCTTTATGATGCTAATCATTAAAACGATCACTGTCTTTCCATTATCTTCTGCTTGTTCTGGAGTCAGGTCTCAGGGGCAGCAGCTTGAGCAGGGAGGTCCAGACATTTCTTTCTACAACCACCTCTTCCAACTCATCTGGGGGGACTCCAAGGTGTTCCCAAGCCAACCAAGAGACATTGTCTCTACAGCATGTCCTGGGTCTTCCACAGGGTCTCCTTCAGTTGGACATGGAGGTAAAATCGTCCTAGGGAGGCACCCAGGGGGAATCTTTACTAGATGTCGGGACTCCCTAAACTGTCTCCTCTGGATGTGGAGGAGCAGCAGCTCTACTCTGAGTCTCTCCTGATAACTGAAATTCTCACTTTATCTCTAAGGGAGAGTCCAGCTACCCTGCAAAACAAATCCATTTCTACCGCCTCATTCTTTCAGTCACATCCCAGAGTCTGTGGCCATAGATAAATGGCAAATGGACTGCACTTATATAGCACCTTTCTATCTTATTTCAAGATACTCAAAGCTCTTTACAAAAATCTGTGCCTCATGGACCCATTCATACAGCTCTATACTAGATCTCTACAAAGATAATTGAACAAATCGTTCTAAAGACACTAATCAGTGTTTTATCACATTCATACACTGATGGACACACATCGGAGGCAATGAGGGGTTCAGTGCCTTGCCCAGGGACACTTCGGCATGTGACTGCTGGTGGAATCGAACCCCCAACTCTCACATGGTAAAGAGTTGGTACGGCAAAGACTGGTTCATCCCAAAGATCCAGTCCCCCGGCACAAACAGAGTAATGTTGTGTATGTTGTTCAGTGTCAGGAGGGTGATCAGTCTTACATCGGGGAAACTAAACAGCCACTGGCCAAAAGGATGGACCAGCACAGAAGATCAACTTCATCAGGCCAGGACTCTGAGGTCTACACTCATCTCCAGGTCAGAGGTCACTCTTTCAGGGATGAAGATGTTCACATCCTGGACAGAGAGGAACGATGGTTTGAGAGAGGAGTAAAGGAGGCCATCTTTGTGAAAAGAAA